TCTGAGGTGTGACCTGCTGTTCTTGAAATCTTGGCTCTGATGGAGTGTTACCGCTAAAGATCTTTAATTTCATTAGAAAAGAACAATTCTGAAGTGATCAGTGCGGGTGGGTGGTGTATTAGCAAACTCTGTCCCTTTTCTGATCTGACTTATGTTATTGTCAGACAAGTAGGATAAGAAGCCACACACTGATCTGTATGTCTGTCAGTTCTTTAGATATATATTTAGATATATATCTTGTTGTGTGGGGTCTTTATGTAATAAAGAAATGGAGTCAGCTCCCTGATATGATGGTAATCAAAGAGACTTTATTCAAATCCGGCACTCTTTTTATCCCTGAAAACCATGTGACCAATGGGGTTATCTTATTCTGGCACATGTCCCCTGGGCTTCCCTGCCCTGGGTGCTTCCCCTGCACCCCTGGACACGCCTCCTACAATATCTAAATATATATCTCTTCATTATATTGTTATAACTATGTACATAAAATCAATGCCAGCAATGTACTTTATTGTTAGCACTGCTATTGTTGTACTATCCTGAAAATTAAGAATAATTTACCAATGACACATAAATCCAATAATTTGTTTAATGATCTATGTTATTACAGGCCAGGGAAAAACCAAACTAATACCTAATTAAAAATGAAATAATTTTCTTGCTTTTCAAGTATTTTTAAATATTGCTGCACCCATAAACAATGGCAAAAATTGAGCTAACTATAATTTATTTTCTTTCTTCAATTTCTACATAGCAAATCTATTATATACTGTTCCTAAAGATGTCACCTATGTGCAGATTATAACCTTGTGCAAGAAATTATTGGAACTTAGATAAAGTAAGCTCTTGGTATTTGACATTTGAAGACAAAAAGACAATTGTTTTCCAAAGTTCACTTGAATAGACAAAAGTAATATTGGATATAAAAAGGGTTTGTTGTTCATACTAAAATTTCCATGACTAAAATATCTTTAAAATAATGTTGTATTCAGATATGCAATGAAAAGTTTGTGTGAATGTATCCTGATATGTGAGTTTGGGTAATAACTGACTTTCATTGCATCTTTGATGATTTTCTGTTTAGCTGTTTAGTTTGTGGGATTAGTCACCAAAATCAGCTGTTGCCTTTGATCTGTAACTATTCATCTTTCAGGTATAAAATTTGAAGAAGTGAGCATTAATCCATACTTCAAGAGTAGCTGACTTCTTGGTAGTTCAATACAGTTTTTACAATTATGGATGGTATTTCACTGATTTGTGATGATGTTGTCAACATATAATAGTGTGGAAATTGACTCCAGTGCTGAACTTTCTACCCCAGATTGAGGAAACACCAGGAGGAAGTTACTACCTGTACTGAATTTCTTTCCCAAGTGATATTTAAAGTATATCACACTAAACTGGAACACACACACCCACACACCCACACCCACACACCCCCCCGCCCTGTCATAATATTTTATTTATGAGCTGAGAATGGTTTTCATTCATTAACCCTAACCTGAACAATTTTTACACTGGCTGCTATAATTTGACCTCATACGCAAGATCACTTTATTGACTTCGAGGTTCTGCTGTGACAGAAGGTGGCAAAGGAAATGAGAATAAGTGGAAAAAAATGCCCTGTGAGCTGTTACAGAGAACTGAAGTAGGTAAAAGAAGAGGATGTGAAGGAGAGTTGAAGGGAAAGGAGGGAATAATCTTAGTGAAATGTTAGAGCCATAAACAGAGCATAGCCAGAACTGTTAAAATAAACAGCAGTGCTCATTCATGTTGGCAGTGAATCCCAGCCAAACTAAACTGCTCCAGGACCTTTAATCTTGATCTGTGTGGCACTACCTTGTTCTTCTCTCCAGCCTACAACTGATGAAAAGCATCAAGCCTCCCTGGAAATTCACAGCTGCACTATGTCTGTCCAGCCTTCATCCTGCTCTGGACAAACACTTCTTTCAAAAGACCCTGAGAGCTTTCTTTGTTTCCCTGGTCTTATTTGCACATGTTTGGTGGTATGAAGGATGCTAGTTTTCATTCACAGGAGATACTCTGTGAAAGACAGAGCACACAATCTGTCCCATTGTAGTGTGTTGTGAGATGTAGGAAGGACCAAATGAACACAGTTTGTTCTTTTATTTCTGTTTTTCCTTTGCAACTTCCATATCAGATATGGTGACAAGCTAAATATGCTAAGGTTTTTATTACTTTCCCTTTCACGGGTGTTGTTGGGATGAGAGAAAAAAATCAGTGTGTTTATGTCTCTACTAGGAGTGGTGGCTCTGAGGTGACTAATGAGGCAAAACCTAAGTTAATCATCTTCAGTCACTCACTGGAAATCAATATCTACAACAACTGAGTACCCTGACGTCACAATTTGAATTCCACTGCAGTTATTGCTACAGTGAACTCTTGTGAGATTGAGAATCCAACTGTGAACTGAATTGATTCTTTATTTTTTTACTGAGGGTTCTATTAGACTCACTCAGCTTGCTCAAAATTCAGCAAATTTATTGCTCTGGTTTAAATAATTTCAATGACATTGCCTCCATCTCTTGTGTCATAAATTTCCCACATCATCCAAGTCAGTCACACTATTATGTTCTAATTTCTCCAAATTCTTCACCGTGTCCTACTGTCAACAAATTGATGTTCATTGGTGAAAAAAATTAGTACACAATGGTTTGTTCCATGTTTAGCTTTTTTGATATGACAAGAGAAATGGATGCAGTGAGCTGAGAATTAGGTCCAGCAGCACAGACTCTGATATTTCTCTTAGTTACGAAATAAATTTCATTACTGATAATAATTCCTAAGCTCATATCGGCTCTAACCAGAAAATGTACTGCCAAACTGTATAAAAACCCTACCAAACTATACCTAAAGAATTAACAGTCTAAATATTACCTATATTTTAATTACATATCTGTATTATATTTAACCGGTCAGATCAGTTCTGCTCCTTATACTGCATATATTGCCTTTTCTGAAAACATGACTTCTCAAATGCCTGTGCCTACTTCCCTCTCATTAGAATTTAATGTCTGGTAGTTGTGCTAATTCAGTGTTATGGTTGACTGCTAGGTTGGAAAAAACTTCCTTGGGTATCGGGTTTAGGTTTTATTCCCCATGTTCTTTAAGTCAAGAAGCACAGGCACTGTATGATCCACTTCTAAAGTAAATGATATTCCCTTTTACATATACACATATGTAGGAGGCGTGTCCAAGGTACAGGGGACGTACCAGGGCGGAGAAGCCCAAGGGGACATGTTCAGGGACAGACAACCCCATTGGTTCTAAGGTCACATGGTTTTAGGGGATAAAAGGAAGCGCTGAATTTGGAATAAATCTCTTTGATTTCTACCTCACGAAGAGCGTACAGCATTCTTTATCATATAAAGACTGCCAGCATAACACACATATACTTTAACTAGCATGGTCTAGGGTGGAAAGGATTCCAGGATGACTAAGGAAGTGGTGCAGATTTCTCGTTCTGCATCAAGATGGGTTGGAAATCTGGTTTGAGTCCAACACCAAAACAGCAAAGCAAATTGCTCTGGTTTTTCAAGTCTTTGCATTTCAAGTGATTACGGTTTCTGGAGACTCCTTAGCACCAAAGAAAGCACTGTGAAACATCCTCCTTCTTCTAGGGGGAATGTGAAAGAGTTTAGCACAAGCTATTCAAAGGGGGACAGTCATAATTTTAGGTCCGCTTCAAACTTGGGTCCTGAAATTCAAGAGCCCAAGTTTGAGGTTCTTATATGATTGTGGCCATATACCATCAGGTGTTGCTTTCCTCTAAAGGAGTATATTTTATTCTTTCTTTTGATTATATCTAGGAACTGAATCTGTTCTATGTGTTCTCTTTCCCTGTGATAAGATGGCCTTTTGGCAAGAAAGCACAGCACTCTACTAAACAAATTTGGCAAGCAAGGAAAGTTCACAAAACCACATATCCCTGAGCCAACTGTGTGGTCTTCATCCTCTTTACTGAACTCACAGTTTCTTGTTGCCTCCCAGTATAAGTCCCACCTTTACAGCTTTGAATCTTGGCTGTCAGTACAGAACTCAAAGCAGTGCACAGACTGCATTCAGCAAATCCAACCCCGAAACTGTGGTATTTCCAGGTCCCCTTTCTGAATCATGTCTCTAGCACAAGAGAACATCACTAGCTAGGAGTCTCTAACAAATGACAACTATCATGGGAGTTAAATTATTCCAAGATGTTTTCGTGGGGCATATTAAAAGGAGAACACGTGGAAAGCACTGTAGCTCCATAATAATTTAGGAACTTGAAAGGAAACTGCCTCAATCTCTTTACATCTCCCTCTAGAGAGAGATATAAAGATTAATAATATTTAATGAATAAGAATTAAATTAATGTGTCTCTTTAGCCAAGCTAAGATGTTTGACTTCCATGGGAGCAACTGCAGATGCAATGGATTATCCCAGAAGAAGCCTTTGAAGTCTACTATGGACCTGTTAGATCATGAGGAGCTTTTCAAGTCCATGTGTTAAGCGAAGTTAACCAAAAACCCATGGAAAGATAACCACACTTCACATCTAGACTCATGGAAACTCTTGTCCTGGTGGGATAAGATCTGCACTGTTCCCAGCACTTTGCTTCTCTTCAGATTTGTTGTTTTGGCAGAGACTGGTCCAGGTGAAGGAAAATCACTTTTCTGCATTGCCACTGCACCAAAACCAACACATTAAATGACGAGGGAGATTAAAAATGTTCCTGAGAGCGTATTTAAAGCTCTTCAGCTGCCGTTTTGTTTATAAGAATACTTTACACATTTCAAAGGGGAAACAGCTCTGAAAGGCCCAGTTCTTATTTTTCTTATTTACTACTGAGATAAGTGCCTTATTTTAGGATATAAATCCGTGTGTGAACAACCTCAATAAAGACACATGGTGTTAGATCTGTACAGCGTGATCTCTCTTGTGTCTTTGTTGGAATTTTCCTGACTTTCTCACAATCTACTCTACAGAAATGACCTATTTTTCTCTTCCTTTCCTTTTCCTCATCCAGCTGTGCACCAGAAGTAAAGGAGCTAATGACCAGTGGTTATGGGTTATGTATATCACCTGTAGGGTGTAGATATGCATCCTATAAAGGTACCCTTTGTGGTAACACACAGAGGTTTGGGGATGACCAGCTAATCTTTGACCATTCCAGTTTTGTGTTCACTAGATTATCTCTCCCGTCTTAATATTTCAGATAGCTTCTATAAGCCTGGGATGCATTCAGAAGGTGACATCCATGTGAAAACTCAAGAAAGGTGTGTCAGGTGCGATGATGTCTTTGTCTTTAAACGTTTTACTGAAATATATGACAGCAGGTGCAAGAGTACCATCTCACATAAATAAGGGGAAAGTTCCTGATCCAGGTCTACATGTTCCTTTTTTCTTCTCCAGGAAATGTCATGTCTTTCTGATGAAGCCAGAGGAGTGAGAAATTAATTTGTATAGTTCACATTCAATTGCCTTTAAAGGCATTTCTTTTTTGGAAAAAATTCACAGCAGTCTGAAAACCTGCTTTCATAATAGTGCGTAAAAATTCAAAAAGAACCTCTCCCAGCCTTTGTCTGATGAGTTACTACAAGGTTTAATTCAAAGCTCATTGCTGCTAATGAAAGCTCTTCTGTGAACTTTAATGCATGCTGGGTTGACTTCATGGGTCTCACTGGCATCATATGAAGAAATTTAAATCGTTCATGTCAATGATCCTTGTTAATGATTTACATCATGATAGGCAGCAAATGCAAAGCATAAATCCCTTAACAAATTTTTTTTTCTAGTATAGAATCACAAAATCATAGAATGGTTTGTGTTGGAAGGGACCTTAAAGCTCATCCATTTCCAAACCCCCTGCCATGGGCAGGGACACCTTTCACCAACCCTGGTTGCTCCAAGCCCCATCCAACTTGGCCTTGGACACTTCCAGGGATGGGGCAGCCACAGCTTCTCTGGGAAACCTGTGCCAGGACCTCACCACCCTCACAGGGAAGAATTCCTTCCTAATATCCCATCTAACCCTGCTCTCTGGCAGTGGGAAGTCATTCTCCCCTGTCCTGTAAATAGTCTCTCTCTGTCTTTCTTGTAGCCCCTTCAGGTCCTGGAAAACCACAGTTAGGTCATCCCAGAGCTTTCTCTTCTCCAGGCTAAACAATCCCAGCTCTTTCAGCCTTTCCTTGTGTAAGAGGTGCTCCATCTCTCTGATCATCTTGTTGGCCTCATCTGGACTCACTTCTGTAGTCAATACTAAGATATTTCATAGGCAGATGGGCAAAACTCACAGTCTGGGAGATACATGGAACCAGATTATATCTCCCTGTTCAGACTGGTGATAAAAATGAGAGTGTAAAAACCACATATGTATTGATACTATTAACTGTGCATCAGAGCATTGCCATTAAGGAACTTACAAGGTCTTGATTTGTGTATTTTGTAACCCATTCAACAACCTCTCTTAACACTTATTACAAGCTGGTGTCTGGGAATATTTATCTAAGCATTATTTATTATTTAGGAGGGTTTGATGTACTTAAATATCTAAAGATTTTGTTCTTGGCGCATGTTTATGCCATTTATTTATTCCATTACTTCAGACCTAGAATAGCCTGCAAATTCATTTATTTGTAGGTGTTTAGCTTAATTTGGGAGGTTTGGTCCTCCCTGTTTGTTATTTACATGATACTAAAGGGTCCAGTCCAGATAGGTACTCTTAAAGGTGGTACAGCAATTGCTATGGACTTCACCAAATACAGTGCTTGAGAGTCCTTTTCCATGGTTTATTTTAGTTCTGGAGCTGTTAGGGGAGCTGTGGACGTGAAGTGACTTATTGAGCTGCAGTAACTCAATCACTGATGACTGGTCTCTTTCATATCTGAGTTCCTAGAAGATGCTTGGCATAATTTGAGAAACAATCAACTTTATGACATAATTATTTGGAAAAAAACGCATAATAAATGTTGGGGAAATGGAATATGTACTGTGTCTTAATGTGACTCAACAGTTTATTTAAACATACACACAGACGCTTGAAGTCTTCAGAGAGGAGCTCCAAGTCCTTACTTTTGGAGCTTCTGGAACAGAGGGATTTGGAGCCTAATCATCAGATTGGTACTGAATATAATTTGCAGAGCCTTCAGTTAGCTTGAGAGCTAATTTATGGTTAAATTAATTTTGATATCACCCACTTTCTCCCTGCAGATTTATGAAAAGTGGAAGTTGTGTGTTTCTTGCTGATTGTCTACCTTCTGTCTCTTCTGAAAACTTCAGTTTACAGACACATATTATATATTATAGCATAACAGCTGTAGTCAGGTGTTGTGGGTTTTGGTGTGCTTTAGGCTGCCCAAATAAATTTTTTTTAATAATTATTTTCTTTAAGGTAAGAAGACAGATAACAATTTCAGGCGACATTTACTTAACTTTAATCTGAAAGTAAGTTATTAAATCTGAAATTCATCACCAGAGACCTCTTTACAATGGATAAAAGTAAATTTATAAAGCCTGAATTACTTTTCTGACTAGGAATTTAACTTGACTTTAAAATGTTTTGCAAGGAATTATCTTATTTAGCATCATGTCTAGATTTTTCCATTTTGAATATTTTAGGAACTGTTCTATATGAATTTACTTTTAAATGTGTAGCAGACTAACTGGAGTTGAGACACATATCCTCAACCTAAAATAGCTGGATATGAAATAGTATCCTTTGCATTCTTTCACAGCTAAACAAGAGTAGTAAAATAAGGTAGTTTCCCAGTTCCTATCATCAAGAGGTATGCCAATGTGTGATAATGAAATAAATTTGGTGAGTTTATTGTTGTTGGTTTATGTTGCATTTTTTGTTTGTTTGTTTTTGTGGGTTTTTTTTGGGAGAGGGCGTTGGTGGGTTTTTTTGTGGTTTGTTTTTTTTGGGGAGTCTCGTTTCACTAAAGGTAAATGAGAAACTCAGTACCTGTGTCACCACTGCCCCTTTCTTCTACCTCCCGTCTTTTGAATATTTTCAATTTACCTTGATCTTTATTTTCATTACAATAGGAAAATATGTTTATGTTTAGGAATAACTTACACGTACAGTGGGGGAACACCTGGATTATGATCTTCTCCATATGGATTAAAAATTTTATTAAGAAAATATTTATCCCATAGACTTACTTTGGGAACAATTCTTCCTACCAAGTTATAAATCCATGATCTCCTCAACATGTTTGTCAGAACATTTGTCATCATATTTGGAAGTCTCTGCAAATTCTGTATGAACTTACATTATGTCTTTTGAACAGTGTGAAGACATTTTTCAGCCTAAGACAACATTTTTCTTGGTACCTAGTTACAAAAAATGTTGTGTTTAAGTAAGCATAAGCAGGACTAAAGGTGCACAGATAAAAACATTAATTCCTAAATTATGCCCTAACTGTTTTTGAAGCCTACAACTGCAGTAATGTGTGTGCTGCTTAATGACTAGCACTACAAAGGAAAAAGTCTAATTTAGACCTATCTTGGAAGGTCCTGAACAATTTATTTCTTTGACTGTGCTAATAATCTTGCATTGCTTGTCTTCACTGGTCTCTAACGGGTTTCTGTAAAATTGGAGATCTTTTGGGATGAAGCAGGAATCTGCCTGTTAGTGACTTCTCTTTCTAGCTGTTCTTCCAATGTATCTTTCCCTGAGATTTGACTTATTTCTGTCTCTATCAAGACCAACCGGCTCTCTGGTGTATAATTCCTTAGCAATTGTCTGAACACACTCTGAATTTCATTAGTGTCAGTGTAAGGGGCTCCAGACATCCCCAGGCATGGGGGGAGTTCAGTCCTCTGATTTTTAAGTATTCTGTATCAGTGAGTTAGATTTTCCTATTGCAAGTGAACAAAAGAAACATGAGAATTATGGACACCTGTTTGTGACACCTGTAACTAAAATAAACTTCTCCTCACTGAGATCCACTGAAGTCTTAGAGGTAAACTTTTATTCCCCCAAAAAGCATCCAGACAAAAGTCGTGTAGAAAACTGCAAACTTGCTGCTCATAATGTTTGAGACTTTCTACTGCTTTTGTGAGTGAAGCTTGAAGGTGGAAACCTGACAAATTTTGAAATATCACATTAGTACTAGTGTGATGCAATGCAATAACAGAAGTTCACTAGTAGTAGAATACGTTGGTTCTAAAAAACTCATTTTTTTTCTCTGAAATTAACAAAGTCATGATCAAGAGGCATTTTTCTAGTTTCATTTTGAAGTGTTAACAACTATTCAAGTATAACCTTCCCTCCCCCCACCCCCCAATACTAACATCTCTATTTATTTTAATGTTATACCTTTATCTTTAGCAAATGAAATGCTACCTTTACATTAAATGCTGCCTAAATGTGGCTTTTACTTACAGAAGTAGTAAGGACGAGAGAAGAAATTAAATTATGCTGTAGATTTTGATGTGCTTTATCTTAATAACCAATCAAACAGTTTTGTGATGCTTTGTGTGAACAAAGCCCCAAAGCCTGGTTTTCAAAAGTTTGGGGAAGCTTAAGTGCTTTGAAAATCAGGCAACTTTATTTAGGGGCTTGATTGAAGTTTCACTGCCTTTGGCAGCCTGACAGAGAGGTGCTGGTGTTGTGTCAGAATATCAAGCCAGTTATAAACACTTTCATACTCTCATCTTACCATGTGACAGTGTTCACTGGTTGTAATGACTGCTGCAGAACCTTCTTTCTTGGAAATCAGTTGCTGCTGGAAAGCAATTACCACGAGTAGATGGAGTCAATTAGCACAAGGGATGGAGGTGTTTGAGCTGTGAGACGCTGGATCATGCAAATTCCATGACACATGGTGCTTATTACTCTACACCACCAAATATCCTCATGCCACAAAATAAACCTGTGTGGTATGGGAGCTGTTGTTATCCAGATCAAGATGATGAAACAGGGGTCCCTGCCCTGGTGTTTGTATCTCCTGCTCCTGGTATTTCTCATTTTTGCTTTAGAAGGGACCACATGTTGCATCTTCATTATTTTAAATTTGCTGACAATAGAACAGGGATGTAGTTATGTGTTTTGCTGGAATTTTTTATTAGGGTAGACTCTAGAACCTGTAGCATAAGACAAATCCCTAATATCAAATTAAATAGCACACCTAATGTAGATGTGCTAACTTATGTTCTGTGATACTATAGGATTTAATCAGAAATATGACTTCAAGTTTGTGGAGAAGGTTTCTTATTACTCAGTCTCACAGAACCAGGTCTTTGCACTTCTGAGCATCCCACAGTTTCAACAACAACTGGCCTGTGGATGATTTCTCAACCAAGCATTACAGAAATTAGAGAGAGTCCTTAAGTGTACATTTAAAAGCACAAGCTAAAGTAAAATCTGCAGCAGTTTAATTGCCTTGCCATTTTTATGTCAGATTTTCTACCCAGTGGTGCAATCTGTTTCTTAAAATAATGAGTTTTAGTGGAAAATGTAGGTTAATCCTGAGAGGTAAGTAGTGCTCATTTGTCAGACAAATGAAGTTCATGGTCTGAATAGCTATTTTGGATTGAGTTATGATGTTGTATATTACTTTCATTAAACACAGAATGCTTTTTTTTTTCCTTCTTCCAAGTTAAATCTTTTGACCACATTAATTTTATCCTTGATGGCCTGTAGTTCCCAGCAAGAACTGTACTGATATTTTGACAAATACCACTGTTACACTGTTTTTTATTAGGATAATTGCCACCTCTCCACCAGTTATGCAGATAGAATGAACCTTACTGCAATCACTTTTCCATCAAACTCCAGTTGGAAAATATAAATTTGCTACAGTGGTGTTGCTACAGTGTTGCCACAGTTTAGACCTACACCTCTATAAAGCTCTTCAGAAAAAAATGCAGCTATTGTGTTAAGTATATAAAAGACAGTGAAGTGTGGTTGATAAATTCTAATTAGCAAGCCAAATGTTGAAGTTAAAGATAAATTTATATAGATAATAAATATTTTATATATATTTGTCATAGAATTATAGTATTATTTAGGGTGGAAAAAACCTGTTTTGTTATATATATAATTTTATATATATTTATATTATTATATATATTTATATTATCTTAGGAACTGCTGGAGTTGGATGATTTGAAACTTCTGAAACATGAAGTCTTCAACAAATATTATTCAAATAGGAACTCCCACTGCAACTGCATTTTCATAGCTCTTGATTTTTTATGCAACTTTGCTAATCTCTAGAAATTATGTTTGTTAGTCAGACCTCAATTCTTGATGAATTGCATTTCACACCTGATGTAAGAAATCATGCTGATCAGGAACATTCAATCAGGCTGTGTCACAGCAATTCTCCAGATACATCGAGATACCAAGATGCATTACACCAGGTGGTTTTTTTTTGAAGGTGAGTGGCGAAATGAACACTGAGCTTTATTTTCTCTCTGATCTCCAGTAGGTGCAGTTTCAGGCTGAGGTATGGTGGATATGGCTGGATGTGACTCAGGTAAAATTATGCCAAATAAAGTCAGCAATCCTGTAGCTCAGAGGCGTTTTTCCCAGATTTTCAGGCCAATACAAGAAGGGTACATTGCCAAATGGATAGACTTCACCTCTCCCTGCATGAATGCTTTAGTTTTGGAGGTTTATTCACACTTTAATGTAGCCTTAAAACACAGGCAACACAAAAACTTTAGGTAGAGTTCCTGGAAGTGTTTAAGCATTGAATTTTAATGGTAAGACTTTTTCAGATAGCTGAGCCAAGTGATTATCGCGTTGTGACATTACTGAGTGGTGGAGGGTGACATCAGCTTGTGCATTCTGACATCACTGGGAGGTGGATTGTGACCTCATGTCCCTCATTCTCTGTAAGTTCATGTGGACACTGGGGTCGCTATGAGTTCCTGAGCTGGGACGCTGCAGTAAGGAGCAGCCATGGCCTCAGGGAGGGAGTGGAGCTGCCCTATCTGCTGCAATGCCCTGGATAATGTTGCCTACTCAATGCCCTGTCGCCACCAATTCTGTCTGGGCTGCATCATGCGCTGGCTGCGGGGGAACCGCGCATGCCCACTCTGCAGAAGACCCATCTCCACCATCAGCTTCTCGGAGCAGGAGGGAAACTGCCTGCACTGTGTCACCAGACTCTCCAGAGAGCAACCCGAGGCCAGCAGCGGCCAGATAGGGAATGTAAATACTTATGGTCCTGGAGCATCCTCAAAGGGGACACTGTCCCCAGCTGGGCAGGGGCCTGCAGGGCCAGAGGCCGTGGGTGGCATCCTGCCTGAGCTCTGGGCAGAGCTTTTCCGGAGGCGATGGACCCTCTTGGATCCCGTGCGGTCCTGGCTGCAGCAGAGGCTGGAGAGGATATACAGGGACAAGTGGTGGCAGGTAAAGACTGCCGAAAGCAGTGTCCTGCTTGCCCTCTGCATCTTCGGGCCAAACAGGGATGTGCTGGTGCAGAGGCTGCAGCCTCGCCTCCAGGAACACACCGCCCCACTGATCCATGGCATCCTTGGCATCATTGAGACTCAGTGCAGCCAGGAGGTCTGGAGGCTGCGCCACTCCCACAGTGCCAGGGAGGAGGATGAGAGCCCTGGGGACAGCTCTGCCTTCCAGGGGTGCACTCCTACCTCCAGCAGCCCCCCACATTCCAGCATGGAGGAGGAAGCCAGCATGTCAGAAGATGCTCTCCAGGGGAGTCCCGTCTGGCCCCCATCTGCACCTGTTCATGCTGAGCAGGAGCAACCCTAGAAGGGATTGGCAGATGTGACAGTGGCCGCAGGTCTGGTCTGGGCAGGGAACACTCACCCATGACATCCCAGTGACCCTGAAATTGGAGGATCCCTGGGCACCGCCAACGGCACCAAGTGATGTCTTGGTAGTTTGCTGTAGCACATCTTTAGTTAAGAAGATGAAAATAAATGTCTTAATGTTCCTTTACAGTCACTGGGTATTGCTTCTGTTACCAAGTCCTCCAAAATCACTGGGATAAAGAAAACCCTCTAACACTGTATTTTTAGTGTTGGCGAGTGAGGAATTACTTTACTGTTGGTTGGGAGGTGTGTGATTGACAAAGTCCTGATCTCCACACAGAAGATGAATCAAAACTTTTTCACCTATTTATACATTGTTAGCAAACAAATAATTTAATGTTCTTTTGGTTCTAAATTACATAATTCTTTCATTAATTAGTATTCTATCCTCTATTGGTTATTGATTTCTCACTGTCTATGTAAATTACTACATATTTGTAAATACGTAAAATACTCCATATTTTTAGTATTTTTTTCCTCCAGTAGGGACTTTCCAAAACATATGCTGAGTCTTCTGTCTCTTCTGGTTTCTGCAAACTGTCCTTGCAATCCATAAATTCTGCATTCCAGATGTCCAACTTCAACAATACATCTTTCTCTCTCAGGCTTTGTTCATTGAAGAAGATCACAGTTAATTTATCAAAACTTAAAATTTCAGTAATTTTACCAAGCCGTGTTCCCACAAAAGAGGCTTATGACAACCTTGCTAAATACTGGCCAACAGTAATTTAAGAATAATTATTTAGAATTAATAAATCATCATCATGGCTAGGCTTCGGGAATGAAGATTTGGGAAAGACTCTACCCACATTTGCTACAAGCATGCTGGTGGCTAAAGAGACCAACATGAGATAGACAAGTCCAGTTGCAAAAGGCACAGCAGAAAGACTCCTTGGATGGTGTATTCTGCAAGACACGGTTCTTTCTGCATTGACTTTTCTCCTCAAGAGTGATCCTGTGTGCGTTCTCAAAGGAAGCAGCAGTGTTATAGATGGTGTGTCTCCAGGCCTCCCGATTGGAGGCCAGAGTAGACCAGTGATGAAGATCAATCTGGCCAAGGCTGAGATGTTGGTTCAGGGAGTCCTTGTATCTCCTCTTTGGGGCTCCTCTCATGCGGCAGCAAGTGGCAAGTTCACCACAGAGCACGATCTTAGGGAGGCAGGAGTCCTTCATCCTTGAGACATGCCCTGCCCAACGCAGCTGTGTTCTCAGCAACATGGCCTCAATACTCATAACCACTGCCTGTTCTAGAACAGATGTATTGGTCACATAATCTGATCAGTGGATGTTTAGGATTGTACGAAGGCAGCGTTGATGGAAGCGTTCTGGGAGTCGCAGGTGGTGGTGGTAAATGACCCATGATTTGGACCCATATAAAAGAGTAGAGAGCACAATGGCTCTGTAAACACTGATCTTTGTACTTTTCTTCAGGTGTTTATTTCGCCAAACTCTTTTATGGAGTCTTCCGAAAGCACTGTATGCCTTTGTCTATCTCTCCATCAATCTTACCGTCCGAGGAGATGAGGCTACCCAGGTAATTAAACTGCTGGACTGATCTGAGCTCTGATTCGTCAGTGGTGATATGGGGATTCTGGAAGACTTCCTGAGGTGCAGGTTGATAGAAAACTTCTGCCTTCTTTAAGTTGACTTCCAGCCCAAAGAGCTCAGGAGCCTCTGCAAAGCAGGATGTTAAACATTGCAGAGCTACTTCTGTGTGAGCGACGAGGGCATCATCAGCAGCATAAAGCAGCTCCCAGACAAGATGGTTTAAGGTCTTAGTGTGGGCCTTCAGTCACCTTAGGTTGAATAGGCTTCCATCAGTACGATATCGAATGTAGATGCCATCTTCTTCATTGAGGTCTGCCATGGCCCTTTGGAGCACCATGCTGAAAAAGATTGTGAGTAGGGTTGGTGCAAGAATGCAACCTTGTTTCACACCATTGGTTATTAGAAAGGGCTCATAAAGTGTGTCGCCATATCTGAGTTGGCCGTGCTGATCCTCATGAAGTAAGACGATCATTTTGAGGAACTTGGGGGAACATCCTAAACATTCCAAAACCTGCCATAGATCTTTTCTACTCATAGTATTGAAAGCATTGGTGAGATCAACACAGGTTACATAGAGACGTTTGTTCTGTTCCCTACACTTCTCTTGCAGTTGTCTGAGAACAAATACCATGTCTGTGGTACTACTGTTGCCTCTGAAACCACATTGGCTTTCAGGTAGAATTCCTTCTGCTATAGTGGGTATTAATCTGTTCAAGAGTATTCTTGCCAGGATTTTGCCAGCAATGGAGAGCAGAGTAATGCTGGTAATTTGAACAGTCTGATTTATCTCCTTTCTTATACAAAGTGATGATGATTGCGTCACTAAGATCTGATGGTAGTTCGCCTAGTTCCCAACAGCACACCATGAATGTTGTAGACGGCGGGATAAAGACACACACGACCACAGAATTGATCCATACTTATCCAATTTTATTGCTGCGTACTTTGTGCTTATAAAGGTTTAATAATTAGCCTCATACATATTACAAAAGCTAAGCTCATCATTGGCTTCTGATTACCTAAAACATATTTGCACAAATGCTGTGTGAATGCTGTTTTGTTTCATACTCTTATAGTTACTTGTTTGCTATTTGCTCTGCTTTCCCATCCGCTTTATTCTATTCTTCTGTCACGTATGCAGTTTCACAGATACAGTGACCTTCCAATAGTTTTCCCTTACCATGGGACCAGAGCTATAGCATCTTTCTCGTGTCCTCTTTCTATCAACCACCTTTCTGTGATACTCCCAACACATGAACTCATGAAATTTGTGAAATTTTCCAGACTTCAGGTGGAATTCCATCAACCCCAGCTGCCTTGCCAATTTTCACCTGCTGTATGGCCTTAAGAGTTTCTCTCATAGTAGGGGCAATGTCCAATTCATTCTTCACCGGTTGTTGTGTAATGTACTGAATTGCTGAGTCTTGGACTACACGGTTGGTACTGAAAGGAGTCTGAAAGTGTTCAGACCATTGATTCAGAATGGAGATTTTATCTGTGAGAAGCATTTGACCATCTGCGCTGAGTAGAGGGCTTTGGACCTGGTATGTAGACCCATATGCTGTTTTCAAGGCCTCATAGAATCCTCTGTAATCACCCATATTTATGCATAATTGAATTGTTCCTGCTAGATTGATCCATCACTTGTTCTGGATGTCACAGAGTTTCTGTTAGAGCTTGCTGCATGCAAGATGAAAGGCTGGTTTTCTTACATGACAAGATGGCTGAGTAAGGTGTGCTTGGTGAGCAGTTCTCTTCTTCGTCAACAATTCCTGGATCTCTTGATTGTTTTCATCAAACCAGTCCTTGTTCTTCTTGAAGGAGAATCCTAAGGATTCTTCAGAGGACTGCAGGATGCTATTTTTAATATGTTGTCGAAGTGTTTCAGGAGATGGAATGATCTTCGAGTTAGTTTGCAGATTTGCCTGAAAGCTCTCTCACTGTACCTGTTTGAAGATTGTTAACTTGGAGTCTCCTCCTTGGAATACCGCCCCTTTTAGGTTTGAACTTAAGGTTGAAGTTAAGTTTACAGCGCGCAGGTCGATGGTCTGTTTGGCATTCTGCACTGGGCATCACGCAGGTATGACGAACATTGCGAACATCACTCTGTCGCACCAAGACATAATAAATGAGGTACCAATGCTTGGATCTAGGACACATCCAGGTTGTCTTCAAACTATTTTTCTGCTGAAAGATAGTGTTGGTGATGGTGAGCTGCTGCTCTGCACAAAACTCTAGCAGAAGGTGACCATTATTGTTGCAGTTTCCAACACCATGCTTACCTAATACTCCTTTCCAGGCTTCAAAGTTCTTTCCAACTCTGACGTTGAAATTACCAAGGATAATGATCTTATTATCTGCAGGAACCTTTTGGATAAGGCGGTGCGGGTTGGTGTAGAATTTATGTTTTTTGGCAGGGTCAGCTTGGAGAGTTGGGGCATATATACTAAAGAGAACATCATGTTGCTTTTTGTGTAGTGGAAGGTATAAGGAGATAATATGATCAGAATGACCTGTCAGCAGATTTTCAAGTTTAGGGACAATGGAGTTTTTAATCATGAAGCCAACTCCTGAAAGATGACTTTCAGTTCTGGGTTTACCTGACCAGAAGAGTGTGTAACCGGCACCACATTCTCTAAGGCTGCCTTCCTCGTGGAGATGAACTTCACTGAGAGCAGCAATGTCGATGTTGAGATGTGACAGTTCATGGGCAGTTAGAGCAGAACGACACTCAGGATGTCCACTACCCACAGTATCAAGCATGTTTCTGATGTTCCAGCATGCTAGAGTTAATTTGGGTGCACCTTTGAAGGCGGGTGTATGCCTTTGTCTCTTAATCTTTGTTTGACCGCATTAGAAAATGCCCACTGGCTGCGGTTAACCAACCGGATAAAGGGTGGAGATGAGCTTTGGTTAGGCCACCTTTTCTAGGCCCCTCTCTGAAAGCAAGCAGTGGTCTCCTTGAAAAAGGCTGCTTGGTCATTCAGGATGCTGTCGAAATAGACTGTTGTCTCTGGGGTCAGTCTCAAGCGACCAATATCCCGAACCGCATGCATGCAGGGTTGGGTCTGTGGCTTCCAGTGCACCTTTCACCTGCCATTTTGTCCCTCGCCTGTCGCTACAGGGCTTTACAAGCGTGGATATATCCTTTGAGCCTGCACAATGGATTTTTTAGGTGAGACGCAGTATGCATGGAACTGGACCCACCCTTTAATCCTAAGGGTCATCTGCCAGGGCCGAGTGAGCTTGGACAGTGACGGCGAGCTTCTCAGGACGTACGTTTAATTAGAGTGTCCTTCTCTTAGATGGATGGCCTTACAGGGCTAAGTGAACTCCATATGCCTGGGAGAATTAATAAATACTTATATTTATACACACTATTTATAATTAATATATATTGGTCATGGTTAATTAAAGGTTGGATGGCATTCAGAGACAGGAGAGGTGTTTGCATCCTCTGTAAAGATTTCTCTTGTATTTTCAGCTCTCTCTGTTGGAGTACAAATGTGTTTTATTGTCTAGTTACTAAAACAAGCAAAAAAGGTAAGTGATGAGGAAGCAAAAATAACATCTTTGAAAATGCATTATTTTTCCATCTGCTGGGGACCCCAGTTCTGTGTGTGCGTTTTTTCTCTCCTGGTTTCCCTTACAAATATCAGTTCTGTGGCTTCATGCCTACAGTTTTTCTCCTCTAAACTATATTTTTTACTTATATTCTAAATTGGGAGAAGTGAGTTAATGTAAGGAAATGTTCAAATGAAGACTAGCTTCTTTGAAGTTCAGCAACTAGCTTCATACAACATTAAATTACTGTCAGTGAAGATCTTCTTCTGTCATATGTTTTCACTGTGGTGATGCATTTTAAAGCAGATTTAGTGTCCTACCACAGCAAGACAGCTATTACAATATTTCTTCAGCTGATTAAATGGACTACTTTTGAATATATGAATGCTACAAGGAGTTACCCTTTGCTGCCATCTAAAAATTTCTTCTATATTCTGCACTATTTTTGTATATTCTAAAGCAAAAGACCTTAATTTAAATGTTGGTAAATTCGGTGATTTGTGGTCTCTAATCGGAGAAGGATCTTATAATCAAAATTGGCTTTCTAAATCAACATGTCTATTTACCAAAAACAAACAAACAAGGAAGCCCTCAAACCTTAAAAATGGCCATTAAGAAATGACAGTGTGTTTGCTCGTTTCCTCCTCCAAAGAACTTTTTTTTTTGATTTCTTTATCATCTACCTAAGAACTGCAGTTTCTATCCAGCTTAGCCAACCTAGAATGGCAACTGCTGAATGAAAAAAATGAGGTCTTTCAAGAAGTGAAGATAAAAACTTGTCTGCAGTCACACAAAAACAATAGGAAGAAACAAATTCATTAACATGGGAAGTTCAAGGTATATTTGGGATAATCTGCCATCGTGTGATAAAAATACTCTTCCCCAAGTGGAAGAGCAGAGGCAGTGATACTATTTCTCTCTGAGATTTTGGGAGCAGAAGTTGTTCCACAGCCACCAAAGCAATATAGGTCTTAGAACTGATGGGCGAAAAGTATTTTTATTTCAATTTTTCCAGAAAGTGTCCTCTACACTCGAGTCCCTGCCTTTAATAACTTGAGAGGATCAAGTGGTCCTCCTACCATATCTGTTTAAGGAATCATGTGCTACTAGAAGATTGGGCAAACTTTGTAGGCATGTTTGGTAAAAAGTAGAACTTACAACACCTACAATTGTCAGAATTGTAATCAATATTACAAACATGTTTACAAGACATTGCAAGAGACTTAGAGCATTTCACACTCGCTTACTCATTATTGTTCTCATGATGTTTTAAAAATAAAAGGCATCTTTCAATTTCTTTATCAGGACTCCAAAAATTTTAATGCAGGCCATTGGAAGACTGTATTGACGTGGCAATTGAAGACATGGATTTCCCATGATAGTAAAAGCAAAGACGTTTATTATTTATTTCTTTACAACTTTTACACAATAAGTTGCAATTGTTCATTAAATCTGTGAGTCCTTGCTGTTAGATACAATATTATAATTTTGTTACCTATTAGCAACATTAGTTCCTTCTGTCCTTTGTTCAAGTTCCTCTATCTGCCCTGGGGAACTGCTCCTCCTTACTTTTCCCATGGCTTCTGTCCCACCAGTGTCACAATGTCCATTTCTTGCTTTTTTTCCCATATCAGAAATCTCTACATATTGAGAAGAAGCCGTTAAGTTCTTTGAACCTTGATTTTTATGTGTATTCCAAGCAGAACACATGAAATTAAATTTTAAGTAGTATTTATGGAGAAGTGGTAAATTCAAATCTCAGCACTGGCATTATTGAGGTAGATGAATAGGCTTTTTATAGGTCTCTTTGAAATTTGAAAATGAACTTATCTGCTTGTAGAGTCTTGCCTTGGTCAAATATATGGCTCTTATTAAAGACATATTCTAATACATATACTTTTATTACCCATATGTTCACAGGAAGTCATTGAAAGATGAATCTATGTACTGTCTCCATAAAATCCTGCTTGAAAAAGGCTGAACAGTTAAAATGAACATTTTTATTAATCCTCAAATATGAGGCATTTGTGAAGATCGCCTAAGTAAGAACTTATTAAAGGCATTAATACAATGATCATATCATTACAATAAACTGAGAGAACTCCAGAATTTATCCAATTTCCTCTGTGTCCGCACAAATGGGCAAAGTTGCTAACAGAAGATGTGTGGAAGGAGAAAGAGTTGTTATCATATGATGCCACTAAAACACATTTAGTAAGACCTTCCCACTGAGACCTAAATCTCTGTACTCACTGTTCTTCTAGACAAGTCAATTTTCCAGTAACATTATGTCTGTATGAGCACGTCCCCAACTTTTTGTGGTAAACTGAACCCAATACAATATGAATTTTTTTTTTTTAAATCCTCTTCAACAGGTCTAAACAAGACCGTACAGGCATACATCAACATATTTGTGCAATCAGAATAGCATAATTCCTCTAGAAGTCAGAAACCTTAAAAGGTTCCTTGCACTAATTGGGAAAAATTTGTATGAAATCAATCAGTTTTCCCTGTTTATTTTTGTAGCTTCCATTAATTACAGGCAGCAAGGAACTTGTCTGGGAGTGATGGTCATGCATGCTTCCAAAGGTATTTCCAGAAATTAGGTTTGTATGAACTGGGAGGGCTCAGTGAATCTACTAATTTTCAGATATTA